GTGGTGGGCCCCATGTTATGGAATGTCCCAGTCAGATTAACCTTTTATGGTCCTTGAGTAAGTCAAAAGTGAAGATGGCTTCATACAGCGGCCTGGATGGGAAATTTGGCTTGGGTACAAAAGAATGCGGGATGGGGAGTATCATAGTTTAGCCCGATATGGTCAGATCTTGGAAGCTAAGCAAGGTCAGTACTTGGATGGGGGACCACCAAGGAAGACTCCGTAGAGGAAGGCAATGGCCAATCACCTCTGCTTGGTCGTCGGCTGAGACTTGACGGCCCTTTACACATAGACACAGAAGACTGTTTAGAAGGGGATGATGGGGGTGGGAACATGAGGATCCTAACACATGAAACAGCATTATACTGAATCAGGCCATTGGTCTGTCAAGGTCACTGTTGTCTATTGAGACTGGCAGCAGCTCTCCAGGGTCTCAGGTGGAGGTCTTCCCCATCACCTTCTGCCTGGTCCTTCTAACTGGAGATGGCTGGGGATTGAATCTGGGACCTTCTGCATGCCAAGCAGATGCTCTACCACTGAGCCAGGGTCTCAGGTCAAGGTCTTTCCCATCAATTGCTGCCTAGTCCTTTCAACTAGAGATGTCGGGGATTGAACCCAGGACCTTCTGCATGCCAAGCAGATGCTCTACCACTGACCCAGAGTCCCAGGTCAAGGTCTTTCCCATCAATTGCTGCCTAGTCCTTTCAACTAGAGATGCTGGGGATTGAACCTGGGACCGTCGGCATGCCAAGCAGAGGCTCTGCCACTGAGCCATGGCCCCTCTGTTCCTAAGGAAACTACATATGCTGCGTGGAGTCCCATACGAACAATATGGAACCATCCAATCTTCAGGAGTCGTATGAGAGCGCCCTACAGTCGGCAGAGGGTTAAGCCATTGAAGTGCCTTTGTTTTAGCACGTACATTAGATTGCTATTAATATTTTGCCCTTTGGGAAATGGTTCCCGTCATCCTCTTCTGAAAGAGAAGAGAGGGAAGGAAACGAAATGAGCTTTTCAACCCTTGGAAACAAGACAGGAGGGTTCTGCTGGACTGTTGCATGGAACATTAAACTGGGACTCTGTCCCTGTTCTTGTGTCAAACTGGAAAAACGAGAAGTCAAGAAAATGATGGAAAACACTAAGAAGAGAAGCCACATGCTGTGGGAACTTATGCCCATACAATTACTCATGTTTGCCAAAGGCAAAGAAATAGGGACTATCCACATATAGAGAGGGTGGCCAGTTGTAAATAGCCACTTAGCACTTCCTGGAATTGCTCCAAAAATGGTGAACTCGGTTGGGATCTGAGCATAATCCATTAAAGGCACTTCTTGTGTACGCGTATTCAAGACCACAAAACAGGTAAGGCAGGTCTCCTCCAACTTTTTTGAGCCTGCTGTTACCTTTATAACTTTGAGAGGGGGTGACGAGCGCCACCCAAAATGGCTACCACGAGAGGTGGAGCCAAACTCAAAATGGCTGCCAGAGGAGGAGGAGCCAAACAGAATACTCCCCTCCTCACACCTCCAGGGAGTAAGGAAATCTTGACGAGGGAATGGAACCGTACGCAGCTAAATTTACTACCGGGCCCAAATCCATAGTACTGGTTATATTAATTTAAAGCCTGGCGGTATGGGATTTGAAGCTTCTTGCTGTCATACGAAGCTGCCCATCCGCTCAGGTTGCCCTCAAAAAACCCACTTTCTGTACCCCTCTTTTTGGAGTAAGGGGAGCTTATAATAGACGGGATCTTTTCTGATCTTGTACCACTCCTCTGAACAGCGTCCACACAACGATTCATGTGATTTTTGAGGTAGGGTTGCCAAGGTGAAAAATCTCCTTACCGGGGGACTCCCGGTCCGTGGCTGGAGCGCACGCGAGCCACGCGCATGTCACCAGGAAGTGACGTTATGACACCGGGCACGCTGGGGGCGGGGCCACGACCCTCCGAGGGAAAACCATAGAG